CCCCCCCCCCCCCCCAATTTTTTATTAAGATGATGTGGAAAGCAAAACAGCGAGTCCTGCATCCATGCTATGTAGCCATTTGCTAATCTGTACATGCATGTGTAGGTATAGTTCAGGTTCCTGCTTGTAAAGATAAGGGCTCCTGTGCGAGCAGAGTAGATCCCGCTGTGACAGCCCTCTACTGGAATGCGTATTCAGCAAGTGGCCCTCAGTAAAGTCTGAGCTGCTCATTCCTGCCTTAGGATCTCTGCTCTGATGTGGTCCCTGACCTTCCTCCTTCCTCACTTTGACAGCTCCTCTGCACCCTGTGTTTGGAGAATCTTTCCTTAAATGCTTCCACTGAGTTTTTGCAGGGTCTCTCCAGTGGTGTAGGCCTAACTGCACTGAACATGAAACTGTTCCAGGACTTAGTGCTCAAACTGTCTGGCTGACAGACAGGAGAGAGGACTCTGTCCTTGGATGTTTCTGGCACAATCAGTCAGTGAAGGACTAGTGCACAGTTAAGAATTGCTCTGCATTTGCCACAGCACTGCCATGTTGACTGCTTCCCAAGGTGACCCTGTATGGCCACTCCATTCTAACAGCTATATGTGGGCTAGTAGATCAATGAATTCTGATCTGAGTATGATCTGTGTGTGATCAGCTTGTGGTCTAACTTCTGACAGCATGCTAGCCTGTGCTGCTACAAATAGCCCTGTCTAGCCATTTTGGAAAGAGGTGCTCTCCTGGTGGGAGCTTTGCTACCTGCTTCTGAACTGTCACAGTGCTCAAAGCGGTTCTGCTAATAGCCCCCTCCGTCCTGGTGTGGTTGCTGCTCTGACTTCATAATAAGAGAGTCCAGCCCTATTGCAGTCATGCTGCTTCTACATCTCACCCCAGCTGCTTGTTTCAGATCATCCAAATGTTGCGGGAGTACCTAGAGCGTTTGGGGCGCCATGAGCAGCGAGAGCAGCTGGATGACCTCTGCTCCAAGTTACAGATGACCAGCACTAAGGAGCAGGTGAGTGGCCCACTGGGCTTAAAGCAGGGGCGGGCAATTATTTCAGGCAGAGGGCTGCTTACTGAGTTTTGGCAAGCTGTCAAGGACCGCATGGGTAACCCTGCCCCTTGATAGGTGCCCTGCCCCCTGGCCACCATCTTGTGACTGGAAATCCCATCTCCTAACCCCTGACCTTTGCCACCAAAAGTCCCTCCCCTTGCCCCAGGAAGTACTCCTTTCAGCAAGGGGTTTTGCCATCTTGGAACCAGAAAAATACCAAAAGATAGTCTAAAAAGCAAACATCTACAACATTCATTAATTGATTTCAAAAACTATTTTTGTCCGGGTTTACATATGTTCGTATAATGTGCATAGAAGTAATTATATATAGTAACTTAAAATGAAGTCTTACTCTTGTATATTGTGGGGAGGTGGGTATAAGTTTGTGGGGGTATGTGAGGTGTTGGGGTGGGTGTGGGGTGAGGGAGCATGTGAGTGTGTGTGTGTGGATATGTGGTGTGGGTGGGTATGGGGTTTGCGGGGGGCTCTATGAGGGGATGTGGATGTAGGGATCCGTGTGTATGGCAATGTGAGGGGGGGTATG